TTATTTTTTATAATATTCATTTTTAGGTGTAGCTCATCGTCTTCATTTGGTGGTATGCAATGGACTTGGACTTTGGGTTCGTAAACAAAAACTTCTATATGCATCAACTACTGATGCAATAACAAAGATTGATATAAGTGAAGATGATTCCGATGAAGAAGATTTTACTGATGACATTCAATTTATTTCACAACCATCATCAATTACTAATTCATCAAGCTCACTTGAATCATTCGGTAATTCATTCGACATATCGAATGAATTGTTAAACACAAATCTTGATAATAATGTTATTGGAAATGAAAATTTAATGGACGAAGAACCAGATAATTTTTCAGATGATATTATTGATAACTGGTCGATTGATGTTATTGAAGATCTTGATATATCATCAGGTGAAACAGTACAACAAAATATAGGTGATTTAATGAAAAAATGTAGATCCATGGTGAAATTAATAAATAAATCATCTATTCTAATGAATTATGTTTCTAAACTTAAACAACAATTCAATATTCGTCGTTCTCTTCAATTGGATTGTAAAAGTAGATGGAATTCATCTCATCAATTAATTGTTGTTATGTTAATCTACAAAAAAATTGTTAATAAAATTCATAGTGAAAAACATGATATTGGTCTTAATAACAAACAAATGAACAAGCTTTCTTCAATTGAATTAGATCAATTTGATTGGAAAATGCTTGAATTATTGGACTTTGTCTTAAAGCCATTTGCACAAGCAACAAAGCTTCTAAGTAGTACTCAATATCCCACCATTGGTATTAGTTATTTTGCAATTGTGCAAATCCGAGATTTTCTTGAAGATTTGAACACTGTTGATGTTGACGATTGGAAAATTTTATTTAATTTCAAAGTATTATTATTAAATCAACTTGAAAAATATTTCATGGAAAAAGACGAACAGTGGCAATTGATGAAAGTAAGAAATTTGTACACCTATAGATTCAGTAGAAAATTTTTAACATATTAAGAATCATGCCTATTTCGATCCTATTGGCTACGGATGTTTAACGAGACGAGAAAGACGAACAGTCGAATCCAATATTATTGAATCACACGAATCATGTACTATGGAAGAAATGATTGATGAGCAAGAAGCTAATGAAACACAATCGAAATTAAATAGGAAACGTAAATCTACATCATCGAAAACATCACCTATGACAAAATTTCTTAATTCAGTCGGTAAAAAACGTGTATGTTCATCAATGGATATACCAACAGCTAGCAAGAATACACTAAATGAAGAATTTACTACATATAGAACATTAGCTCAAAGAGAATATAATTCTATAGTCGATGGTGATCAAGATCCTGATGTAGTAAGTGTCATGCAATTAAAATTAGGTTTTTTATTTTTCAACTAACTTTTCCGTTGATCTTATAGGTACAATTTTGGCAATCACATCAAATTGAATTGCAGCAATTGTCTAAAATTGCTACCTCTTATCTTTCTACGCCAGCTATTTCTGTTACATCAGAAAGTGCATTTAGTACGGCTTCATACCTATTACGAAAACAGTGGTCTCATTTAACACCCATCAATTTATCTCACTCAATATTTCTCAAAGATAAACTTCATACTGACTTTAATACACCGTATTAATAAAGAATGGCATAAGGCCAAATCGTAGTTTCTTCTACTTTTTTCTTTCATGAAACTCGTTAACTCGGAACAACACTAATTTTTATTGAACATTTCCTGTAACCATATTTTACTTTAACCATATTTTATTTTAACCATATTTAATACTCATGGTTTGCTTTTTCTTATTTATAACCGTGATAAATATTTGTTGATATAATAAAAGTACGAAACATGATCCGATTTCAAAGTATTTATAGAGAAAAACTAAGTGCAATTGATAAGATAAATTATACAGAAAAAAAAATCTAACCGTGTAAAAACTATGTTGGTTTCTGTTTCTATTGTGATTCTGTTAATATCAAAATTGAATTTGATATTGGCTTCGAAATAATTTTATGAGATGACACCACAATAAATATAGAGTGATTATGTATGTAAACCTGACACAAACAATCTGGTTATTTTACAATCCAGTAATAAAACCGATCAGACACTAACAGATAATATATAATATATTAATTAAGTAACGTCATCGAGCACAGATTTTCGATCACTGAACAACTATTAATGAATGGCTTCTTTAAAAAAAACACCATGACAGTATGGAGTTTAACAAAAGTTCTACTATACTTTGTGTGACTGAAGGTTCTGTCATTTTCATTACCCATAAGAAAAAATTCGAAAAAATGCATTTCAACACGCTTTTTTTAGCATATATATTTTCGCTAGAACATTTGTGTTTTGTACAATGCACCAAAATACATTTTTATTAGTCGAAATACCTAAAAATACAACAAAACACGTTTTTATTAAATGCAGTTCTTTCATTGAGGATGCAAAAAAGTAGCTACAGGATGGATTCTGTAAAGGATTTCTTCTGTTAACCAAAGCGAATCTTCTTTTTAATTCAACGCGTTTGAATCGTAGAATATATTTGCTTTCATTTCATATGGATAGATTCTAACTAACGACGTTTGTTTTGAATTACTTAATAGAGTTGAATTGTACTTTTACATCGAAACAAAATGTCTATATCGCAGGTCAAATAAAACAGCTATAAAATGGCGATCAACGATATAAAACGTCGATAAACGGCACCGTAATCCGTCATACCAGATTACGGAAGCAAAACCGGGAAAAAAAGACGGCCGTTTTCTAGCGATAGAAAACAACTTGTAATACGGTATGACAGATTACGGCGAAATAAGGCCAAAATTAATGGAGTAATTCGCTGTTTCATAGCCGTTTCCGACGGCCGGAATGATCCTCCTGGGATATAGTGAATAGGAGAAGAAATTTAAGTTTTATGCTATTTTTTGAGAGATTTGATGTATTTATCATCTGATTTGAAAAATAAATGGTAGTATATTTGTACAACCAACTTTGCGGTATTTTTTCATATGCATCTTCATTATTTTTACTTTTTGAGATAGCTGTAACTATATAAATATTGTTTCTAGATGTAATATTGGTAATTAACAACCCATATCGTAAATACCAGACAGTTTTTAGCGGTAAACCGCGGTATTTATCAAAACCGGTGATTTACCGCAGTAAATTGCAATGGTGGGAGCCGGTAACCGGATCGGTAAAACCGCGATAAACCGGCGACTTTTCCAAGCATCTTTATGACATGGAGAGGTACAAGAAAAAAACATTTAAAATAGCAAAATCGATGATTTGGAGCAACTAAATGTTAATGATCATCGGCGAATCGGTTAACCAGTTCATTTTAGCGGTTTACCGCGGTAAATTATAGCAACGAGAGCCGATAACCGGATCGGTGAAACTGCGGTTAACCGCCGGTTTTCTTCCGGTTTTTATCACATGGGAACTTTCTTATTCGAAACTTCATTTATTTATGAGCACTTAAAAGATGTTAATTTACTCACACTAGGTAAAATATAGAAAAATCAATGTTTTACTTTACGAAAAAATAAATTAAAATAGCGTTAGATAAAGGATAAAGAGTAATTTATTTTACAAGAAAATATATAGTAGAGAGAACATTTACGGTCATACAGTTGTTAGATAGACCTAATTCACAAATCCTATTGCCTTATAATCCTTTCTCTTTCGTGTATTTTTTTCATTAAAAAAAATTTTCGATTTTTTTCAAACTAACTTCATGGTTTTCTTTACTGTTCAAAATAATAAATGATTTATTTGCTATTATTTCTATAAAAATAAAGATTTTTTTTTTATTTTTTATTTTTTTCATAATAAATATTCTCCTTATCTTTACCCTTTATATTATAAGATTCATTAGGATAAATTTATACTCCAAAAATAGAATACTTAATGAAAGCAATAGAAAAAACAAGCTTATTTTGCTTATTACTTGATTTTATTTTGAATCGATAATAGAGTAAAACACAAAACTTTTTCTTTCTGAACTCGAAGAAAGCCTAGTAATAACTTGAAAACTCAAGATTTTCATTATTCATTCCATAGAAATAAATTATCAACGTCGGCTACTTTAGCTTTTTTGGCGTATGGGTTTAAGTATAGGTCTTCTCTTGACTCACATACTTTCACTCATACTCATATTCACACTGACACCTATATGCTCACTAAATCTCGCACATACCCGCAATCTCAGTCGCATGCATAACTACACCCATGTTCATATCCACATTCACACCCACACCCTCAAACTCTTTTGATTCCAGTCCTGGTAACCTTTTTCTAGTGACTCTGGCCTCAGTCTAGAGAAAACTATTCTAGAATTTATTCGTATCACATCTAGAAAAAAAAGATCTTTAATCCTCTTTTTTTTGGTTAATTTAGTCGACGAGTAGCATTTTTTTAGGTAATCTCTCTTGAATTACGTTCTGATTGATATGATTCATACGGTAATTCACTTAAAACTATATAATATTTAATCGTAATGTTTAGTCTCGATTGGGACCACTTTTTTCTCGTAGACTTTTAGTTCAATAGCAATGTTATTTGAAAAATAAAAGGCTAGATTCTTTGAAGGTCAACTAAGCAAATAAATTTCTCAAGCAAAAGTACGTTTTCAACAAAAAACCGATAACAACATTCTTACCTACTATTCATCCTCCTGATATGTGTTAAATCTTACCAAACATATGATCTGCGAAATAGATTGAAAAAGAATGGAAATATAGCTACAGCTGAATAAAAGCGTTTGGTGCATAATAATAATAATAAAACGAAACAAAAGTACACACATACACATAAACGATATCTTGTTTTTCAATATGACGACAAATTGATGATTATACACGAATGAAACAAAAAAAAAAGTTAAGTGCTCTATTTTTTTTATAGTTTAACATTGTGCATATATCAAGCAACACAAACAAAAAACGATTGAAGTAGGTCCATAGGAATAGAAAAAAATATATATTTTGATATAAATGCCTTATGATAATTGTGATGGACCACTTGCTGCAACAGTTGTTGTTGTTGTTGTTGTTGTTGTTGTTGCTGTTGTTTCATTTGTCTGAGGAGTAACATCACTCGTTGGAACAGTAGTATTGGTTTGTTGTCGTTGACCAGGTGGATTAAATAAGTTTTTAAAAAAGTTACGAATTGCTGTCACTGGACCCGATTTATTTCCTGTTGCTACAGCAGCAGGTGCTACTTGAGCAGCAGTAACTGGTTGCGGACCATAGGCAGTTTGGCCAGATGTTTGAGTTACATAAGCTTCTTGTGAAACATGATCGGTGGTAGGAGTAGTAGTTGCAACAACAGGTGATATTACGGTTGTACCGGTAGTATCAGTTTTAGTTACAACTTCTTCAACATAAGGTGGAAGATGAGAAGCTGTTTGTGCTGATGATAACGATTGTTTGCCATCATCTATAAGGAAATTAGGTTTTTCTACTAAATAGAATTTAGAAAATTTTAATGCAAAATATTTTACCTGGTGCTGTTGCTACAGCATTTTTTGCAGCTGCTACTGCAGCATCTTTGGCTTCTACTGTCGTTGTTGCAACAACATCAGCTGCAGCACTAGCTTCTTTTTTAACATCGGCTGCTGCTTGTCCCATAGTTGCTGTAACATTGGAAGCAGCTTCTGATAATAATTCTGCTCCGTGTTTAACCGCTTCAGTTACAGCAGTTGCACCACTAACTATTGCTTGTTGTGTTGTACTAAGTATTTCAGTACTTTTAGTTAAAACTTCAGAACTTTTCTCACTAGCCCATTGTTTTGTTTCTTCGAATTTTTGTTCACCTTAAATGAAAAATATAATTTTAACAATAGAAATTATTCTATATAAATTTTACCGGATTTTTCAACTTCAGCTAATTTCTCTTCAGCTGTTTTTTCTAATTCTTGTGCTTTAACACTTGCATCATGAGCCGTTTGTTTAGCACTGTCAACCAATTCATTTGTTTTTTCTAAATTTTATATAAAAACAAAAAGAAATGTTAAATTATATATCCAAAAAAGCAAAAAGAAAATTATTAACCTTGAACTATCTTTTTAGCAGCAGCTAATTTCTCTTCCGCAAGCTTTTCACCAGCTATTAAAGCTTCCTTAGCGTTAGCAGCAAGTTCATAAGCTTTTTCTATTAAAATTAATCTTATTTTTATAAAAAAAAAAAAAAAAAAAAAAGTGATCACACAGCTTATAATACCTTGAACATTATGTACTGTTTCACTGGTTTTTACTTCTGCAGCATGAGCAGCAGCTGCAGCATCTTGTTTTAACTCAGCAGCTTTTTCTGAATCATTAATCAATTTAAAAACAATATATATATGTAGAAAAACATAAAGTTCTACCTTCAGCATTATGTGCTAATTCTTTAGCTTTTTCCTCAACAACATGTTTTACTTCAGCAGCTTTTTCTAAAATGATTATTCATATCATAAAAAAAATTTTGATTTAATATTAAAAAAAAGAAAATTTACCTCCAACAGTATGTTTAGTTTCTTCAACCTTTTCTTCAGTAGCATGAGCTGCAGCAACAACATCTTCTTTTAATTCAGTAGCTTTTTCTAAAAATCTTTTATAAATATATAATAAAATAAAATAAAATAAATAATAAACCTTGAACATTATCTGCTACTTCTTTAACCTTTCCTTGAGCATCATGAGCAGCAATTGTTGTATCTTTTTCTAATTCATTTTTTGTTTCATTTGTTGCATGTTCTACTTCATTTAATTTATCATCAGGTGTAGTAACTATTCCCTCAACTTTATCTAAAAATGTCAATCACATATATATATATATTTTTTGCTTTTTCTTTACTCATTATGGATGTAAAATCTAATTACCTTTAACTTCATCGGTATTGTTTACTTCCATTGATGTTGTTTCTAAATATATATCATAAAGATTATATTGACCAAAATTTAATGTATATAATAACTAACGAATTTCCTGTATGACAGGTGTTGTTGTTGGCTCATTTTCAACTGTGACATGAATATCGTCCAGTTGACGAGTTACAGATGCAATAGAATCATTTGGATTTTCAGGAGATTGTACGGTTTCATGATGACTTTCAGTGATTGTTATTGCATTTGATGAAGCATCCTTATTTGTTTCACCTTCAGAGACAACGGTATTACCTATGAAAATCAAATTTATTTACATATACAAATAATAATTTATTTTTTTTAGATATTTCTACCTTGTTCTTCAGATTTATTGACATGAATTTGTGTTGCTGAATTATCGTCAGCCATGAATATGTATTAAAGAAAAATTAAATCTTAAAGGACAAAATAATAATCAAATATGTTATTATTACAATTATATCTTTCTGCAACATTTTGTATTTTTTTCTAATCATCTGACTAATATCCACACAGCTGTGTATACAATATTATCTAGTCTATCTACTAACAATGTCGATTTCTTAGCCTAAAGAAATGATATATATATATATATCCGGATTATCTAAAATATAAGATGAACGCAAATCGAAGAAGAATAAAGAAAAAAAACGATTATAGATAAAATTGAATGAATTCTTGTATGACCGGTAGTTTAGGTAACGTATTATCTTATAACAACAACAAAAACAATGATAAATAATAACCTACTATTCTTTACGTTCTTTTTTTCTGCTCACCATTTGTAGTGAAACGTCTCGATGTTTCTCCTCTAAATAAAATTCGTCCAAAGTGAACTACGGACTGAAAAAAAACAGTCACATCTCACAGGACTTTGTAGTCTGAGTAAATGTAAATATATGACGGTTGTCTGACCTTGGCTTCTCTCAAAAAAAAAAAAACCGACCGTCATGTTTCGACTATATAATGCTTTATTGTTAAAAGAATGAGAGAAGAAAAAAAGGCTAAAGTTTATATTGATTTACTGTCCTTCTATATATCGTATCTGTCTCTTTCTCTCTCAAGGGTGATACAGCAAAGAATGCAAAGAAAAAGCTAGATAGAAATGAAAAACAACAAACAAACAAATAACACTATAGCTTTCTGTTTGTTAAGAAGGTGACTAAATGAATATATATGTATGCGCTCTATCTATCTTTATATATATTTATAAGCGTATGTAACGACGTGAAATAACACAATAAGTGCGATAAACTTCTCTCGGTTTTTTTCTTTTACTTTGCAATGATTTTTTTTCCATTCTCGTTCTCTAAACAAAAAAAAAACAAAAAAACGACGTCTAGATGAATGATTACTTTCGATGCCACACACATAAATAGAAATAGAACGAGTAAAAGGGGTCCATAACGGTAATGTAATAGAAGCGACTATTGCTATTGTGTGCATATATTCTTAATGAATCAGATTCAATATTGATGTCAAAAAAATAGAAGAAAAAGGTAGACGCAGGAAAAAGGACAATGCATGTTCGGCATGGATGATGTAATGACATAGAGAGTTTTCTCTATTTTTTTTTCTTATTCTCTACTTCTTTAAAATGTACTGAAAGACAAAAACAACAGAAAACACAACAGTCTAGTTCAAGTTAAAAATAAATGTAAAATTAATAAAAAAAAATCGATAATTTACTTAATTAAAGATAAAGTTGAAAATCTCATTTGTATTAAATTTTTCTTTTAAACTATCTGATGAATTTTCTAGATTTTGAAAAATTAATTAATCTATTAAATGTGTGACTCATCAAAGCAAGAACAAACGCTGACATCTAATGATGGAAATTTAAATTTTTGGGTTGATAGATGGCAAGCAAATAGAATTGGTTTTCACCGAACTTTTGTCAGCGAGTGGGTATTACATTCTTTCTCATATTTTCAATGTATTAAATCTCATTTCTTTTTATATAATTTTTAAGCTTATTCAAGACACATATTCTTCCAAAACTCATTTCATCAGAAGAAAAAAAATGTGTCGTTTTTCCTTTATGTGGCAAAACATTGGATATGAAAGCAGTTTTAGATCTGGGTCATCGAGTTATTGGTATTGAAGGATGTAAAGCTGGTATAGAAGCATTTTTTAATGAAAATAATATTTCATATGAAATCGAAAAAGATGAAAACAATCAATGTGAAATTTACAAAGTAAATGAAAACTAATCTATTCCATTGTTTATTAACAACTTATTTATCAAGGGTATCGAGTGTTCTGTTACTATATATTCTGCTGATGTTTTCACTTTTAACAAGTAAGAAATCTATCAATATTTATTTTTAAAACCTTCAATAATATTTTTAGATCTCTTCCATCTGTTGATTATATATGGGATCGTGGTGGACTCGTAGCTATCAATCCATCAACTCGTGAACAGTAGGAATATGTATATATATATATTTGTTATTTTTTTTCTTCCATTATTCATTTATTTCTGTAGATATCGAGATTGTCTTCTTCGAATGATGACACCGGATCAAACTCGACTCTTTCTTGTAGCCATAAATTATAATGATCCTGATTTTAGTGGTTAGTACTTTCATATATTACGCTTTCATAATTGCATATCATGAAATTTTTATAATAGGTCCTCCATATGTTGTTAATGATGATGATGTCAATCATTTGTTTGGTAAGTAGTAGAAGAAACAATATATTCATTTAATCCATTATCATGTTTTTTCTTATAGGTTCGACATGCTCATCTGAACTTGTTGAAGTACGTGATAACACAGAAGAATATAGATCACGGGAGGCGGCTCGTCAAATAAATTATATAGAAGAACGTCTTCATTTAATTGTACGAAAACAAATCTGATCTTAGATCTTGAATTATGTTTTACATTTAATTAGATACATTTTTTTTAATCTGAAACACAATTAGTTAAATCACTTGATTCAATATCTAATATAAAACGCTGATTTTTCTTAAAGAATATACATCATTATCAAATTAAAAAAGAATTTATTTAAAATATATAATCTATCTTTTTTTTCATCGTATGATTTCATAAAACAATTTAATATTGAAATTTTTAGATAACAACAAAAAAGCAATGTTTTTATACTTTGTTTTTCCTATTGAATTCAATAATAGAACATAAATTCGAAAACATCAAAACTGAATTTCATTAGTTATGCTTGACACAATAACTGATGAAGTCAATATTACTAGTAGACTATTCTCAATAGAAGTTGAGCGTACAAATGTAAATAGAATAGAATAAGTCAATTGATGACAAATGACAAATAATCTAAAATAAGAAAAAAAAAAGATTTTCAATCTGAATATAGTCATCATCAGAGAAAAACAACAGTCCAATACAAAGAGTAGCATGATTAATATAATTATTTGCTTATTCATTCAAATTTCAATCAATGACTGTTTGAATCAACAGTCATAGATTAATCATTCGATGAATGTGAATCTTTCTTTGTTCCATTAAGTAGATTTTGATCGAACGATCTGTCATTTGCGTATCAAAAAGAGCAAAGATTTTCAAAAGTGATTGCCTATTTGGTTGGATTTGATCGAAAATTTATTATAGAAAATGAATACAACATAGTAAGCAAAAAAAACGAAATGAAAAACATAATATTTTTTTGAAAAATTCATTGATATTTTTTCTTAAACAATGTTTGAAAGAAAAGCTCTCCTTAATTAATATTCGCTAATACTTTAATAACCAATAATTCAAGGTAGTCGAATAGAACAAATTGTTTTGAACATCCACTGTAGGATTGCATGTGCTAGTCTTTCTAACCTTTCACACTGAGATTGTTTATGATAATATTGCAAGCCTCTCAGATTGAGGATGCCTTGAATTCCTTTAATTTAAGAAAATCGAATGGAATTCAGTATTTGGAACTTCCAAATTGGAATTGTATGTATTAATCTTGCTAAATTCTTGAATGGAACTGTGTGTAATAGTGTTTCAAGCCTTCTCATTGTAGAATGTCTTAGATTCTATTGAATTTTCAATTTCTAGATGATGAATATTGCTACCTTTTCAAATCATGTACCTGTTGATGAAGTATATGAAAAAAAATGAGTTTAAGTTCAACAGTGTCAGATAAAAATTAATCATTTATGTTCTCATAGTCAGCGTCTTTTCGTATTTATTTCCCATACTTTTACTTTATCTGATCTAGTATCCTGCAATTCGGTTGGGTTCTGGAAATCATCTTATATCCAGACCTAATCCAGTTATAAATAAAATTTTGACATTTTAAAATAATTTTATTTTTTCAAACTGCTATCTATATAAAAACATAGGAGTGAAAACCTGAGCAATTTATTGTACTTGAGAACAGGTCACAGACATGGAAAACAATATTGTTTTACTAAAAGAATTCGTTTTTAAATAAAAACTCATCTACACATGATAATGAAACACATGACGAAGTAAGTGAATATATTGAGAACAAAATGAATCATGAAAAAAACGATGAACACGTATAATTGTGACGAAAGAAGCATTCATGTATGTATCCACAATGATGATATTTGGCACCAACACTGTTTCATTTCAACGTTCTCAGCAACAAGCAAATATATGCGTAGCTAAATTGATCAGATTTAAGAAGCAGGAAGATACCAAGTGAATTTTTATTACTGTTGATGAAGAAAACAAAATAATATACTTTTCATATAAAATAAAAGTCTAAAAACGGCACTGCAACTGTGAAAGTATCTGCTGAGTGTTAATTAGCTCCATTCTGGGTACGAATGTTAGATGATTGGGTTCGGTTGCGAAAAAACATTACTCTTACCTAACTTGCTATTAGACTTATTTCACAAACGAATATTTGCAGTCAGAGTATCCTAAATTAACTCACATGTATGTTTGAAAAAATTTTTTCAAAGAAAAAATGAGGTCAACAAAACGATATTTGTGTTTTCTGTGAAAGATAAATAAAAGAATATTATATATTATAATGTTTGATTTTATCTAAAATCTTTATAAAATACAATATATTTGATTAATTAGCTTTTGTATCTAAATGTTTGAAATAGATATGTGGGACACATTAAAAAATATAACTTCCTATGTTTCCTTTAAATCTACGACACATAATGAACTTTTCTAAAAAAAAAATAGAAAGTTGAAAATAAATAAAATAATTACCTCATAAATATTTGCTAATCGATAAAGATCGTGAGACTATAAATATCTCAAGAATTCTTTTGTCAATGTTTTTCTAAAAGATTGTTATATTTTTTAATTCGATGAAAAAACGACTATGCAATAAAGTAACAAAAAAAAACTTAATTGATTATCAAGTGCATTAAACTCTTATCATTGACTCCATTAATAGTGATTTTCATAGTGCATAGAAAA